AAATTTAATGTCAATAAAATAATATAAAATAAATGTATGGATTCTCAACTGTCTTAGTTTAAGGAAACAAGGATTCATAAAGTCTTAGTGCTCAGAGGAGTCCACAGTTTGTTGAGTCCAGAAATCTGAATTGAAGTATCCCAGATACTTTCTAGTTTCTGCCTGGATCCATCCAATGAAGAGGGAAGTCTAAACTCTTTGGTTCCACTGCTCTTACTATTAGAAGATTTTTTTCCTCCCACTCATCTAGAACCTGCTGTTCTATAACTTGTCTTCTGTTCTTTGTCCAGTAGTTGGGTCAGAAAGTCATTTTGCCAGTTTTGAAACTCTGTCACATTTTGCCAAATATTTGTTATGGATCAAGTGCCATCCCAAGATAATTTTCACAAAATACAGTGGCTAAACCAGGGATCCTCTATCTTATACCCGTGTTTTAAAATAATCTTGTCCTAAATTTAATTCTGCTATGTTAGTTCATTTCTCTAACCTATCAAGATCATTAAGAATTTCGTTTCTGCCTTTTAGAGAATTAGCTGTTCTGCCCAGTTCTTTATCATCTTTATTTTTTTAAAAAAAATCTTTCTTATATAGTGCCCAGAGATGGTTAGTTCTGCATTTGTTTCCAGAACCTATATTGGGGTTCTCTTTAAGGTTGTTGTTGTTGTTAGTCGCGAAGTTGTATCCAATCCATGGACAACATTCCTCCAGGTCTTCCTGTCCTCTACCATCTTCTGGAGTCCATTTAAGCGCACGTCGACTGCTTCAGTGACTCCATCCAGCCACCTCATTCTCTGCCTTCCCCTTCTTCTTCTATTGCCCTCAATCTTTAGGCTCTTCTCCAGGGAGTCCTTCCTTCTCATGAGGTAGCCAAAGTCTTTGAGTTTCATCTTCAAGATCTGGCCTTCTAAAGAGCAGTCAGGGTTGATCTCCTTTGGGACTGACCAGTTTGGTCACCTTGCAGTCCAAGGGACTCGCAGGAGTCTCCTCCAGCACCAGAGTTCAAAGGCCTCCATTCTTTGGCGCTCAGCCTTCCTTGTGGTCCAACTTTCACAGCCCTACATTGCAACTGGGAAAACCTTTCTCTTTTTAAGCTCTGGTAAATGAGGTTGAGCGTGTTTCATCCATCCTTCCCAGTCTTTGGGAGATGGAGCCCATCACATAGAAGTGCCTTGATCTGGAAAATACAGATCATTTCTCCCCAAAACCAAGTCTCATACCAGCCCCTGTTTTGGCCAATCATAGAATTTATTTAGATGCTGCAAATCCTGCTCATTGGTACTGAGAAAGGAGAATGATTGCAGCTCGGGGTTGAAATGAGGGGTCCTTGGTGCTTTCTCGGCATGGCAATTTTCTTGCAGGAGTTTTGTTCCCCGAACTACCCTGTTTCTCCAACAATACGGCCTCCCCCAAGAGGAAGTCCCAGCATGTTTTATAGGCATGAAATGAAATTAAGCCCCTCCCCCCAAATTAAGGCCTATATTAAAACATGCGAAATGGGGGGGAATGGTGGGGGGGGCTTGCCGTTAGGAAGTACTTTTGTTGCATACCCGGATATGGTGCTGCCTGCGTTGACCCCAATATGAAGTGCCCCACCAACGCCGAGGTCAACATCCAAGCCATCGCTGCCCACCCACCCAAAGATGCAAGGGGGGGAATTAAGTCACCCCCGAAAAGACGGCCTAGCCATTTTTTCGGGGCTCAAAAAAAAAAAAAAAAGACCCGGCCTTATTATATGAGAAACACGGTAGGTAACATCACCAGACTAATAAATGTTACCTGGTTTGGGGTAATGAAATGTCTGCAAGAAAACAACCGAGCTCAGAGAGCACCCAGGACCCTTCAGTGTGATTAATTGCTGGTTTTGTTTTTTGTTTTGCCTGGGACTGAAAGCTGTTGTTACCTAATTCAAGCTGTGCAAAAAGGTCTTCTGAATCTCTGGACTCCTTCAGTTGTTTCTTGCCTTTGGGAGGACCTGTTTCCTGGGGTCCAGTCTGTCCAAGTGTTGTCCATTCTCCCATATGAAGAGATAAAGAGACGTATGGCTGCTCTAAAAGGGACGCTGTGGCTCAGTGGCTAAGACGCTAAGCTTGTTGATCAGAAAAGTCGGCAGTTCAGTGGTTCGAATCCCCAGTGCTGCGTCATGGAGTGAGGTCCCGTTACGTGTCCCAGCTTCTTCCAACCTAGCAGTCTGAAAGCACGTAAAAAATGCAAGTAGAAAAATAGGGACCCCTTTGGTGGGAAGGGAACAGTGTCCCGTGTGTCTTCGGCATTTAGTCATGCCGGCCACATGACCACGGAGACGTCTTCGGACAGCGCCGGCTCTTCGGCTTTGTAACGGAGATGAGCACCACCCCATAGAGCCAGAAACGACTAGCACGACTGTGCGAGGGGAACCTTTACCTTACCGCTCTCTGCTGTAATGTTTTTGTCTTCCCTACAAGAAGTACATGACTTGTGTTTTCCTGCCTGTGTCTTCTGTGCTGCTGACAGTCAGGAGAGTAACATGCCCTTAGCCTTGAAGTCACCCATCCATCTTCTCTCCCATCGGCTGGCAGGGTTGTTTCTTCTCACCCTGGGCTTCTGTTCACAGGTCAGATAATTATGAACCGTTGGCTCAGACAGAAATTCTGTAGAGTTGCTTGCTCTCGTCTGACCTCTTTTCTGCAGCTGAACCTCTGTTTTGCTCGCTCTGTGGATGCTGCAATAAATTGTATTTCCCTACTAAGAGACTTTCATCCAGGCTTCCGATCAATCAGAAGTCTGGAGTAACATCCATTAGAATGCCGTATTTTCTTACTACCAATAGCCCTCAACTTACTACCGGTTGCTCAGTGACTGTTAGTGCCAGGCATAGAATCAAGATCATGTGAAGTATTAGCACTGCTTTATAAAGTAAGACCACACCTGGAATACTGCAACCAATTTTGATCAACATACTGCAAAAAAGATGTAAAGACTTTGGAAAAAGTTCAAAGAAGAGCAACTCAGAAGACAAAAGGCCTGGAGACTAAAACATACGAAGAACGGCTGCAGGATTGGGTAGTCTAAAGAAAAGAAGAATTAGGAGTATTACAGTATTTGAGGGGCTGCCACAAAGAAGAGGGGATCAGATTATTGTCCAAAGCACCAGCAATGCTGTACAAGGAAATACTTGGCAAGGAGTCTGTGAGAGTCATAAACAAATCTTCACACTCATTAAACGAACTAATTGTCTCCTGCAAACACCACTCCCAAGTCAACCCTTGTTCCTTAACTGTTCCTTTCTCCTGGCAGCTCTGTGGATGCGCACACTGGGAACAGGCTCCAGCTGTTCATCTGCCCCACCGATCTCCGACTCCAAAGGCAGCTGATAACTGTCAGACGGCCCTGGCCCCATCTCTGCCTCCGATGCAGAGCCCTCGTCAGAGTCTTCCCCAGACTCCAGGACTGGCCCATGTTCCTCCCCAATCTCCTCACTGTCTGATTCTGCTGCCAACTTCACTGGGCCACAACTAATAGATACCTGTCTGTCCAAGATTTTAGAGGCTTGGGCAGCTTCAGCAAACTTGAAGGAAGCAATAATTTTCATGGGGGAGTCTTTGATTGCAGATTTCAAATATCACTCATTTTCAGTACTTTATTTATGACATGGATCATTTTAATGCTCTCTAAAGGTTTTTGTTCAGATCTTCCATTAGAGAAAAAAGCTCAGCTGTTGAGTTTATTATAAAAAAAGAGTATATTATTATCTGTACTCTTATCTTGAAATACCATATATCAGTTTATCAAAGCAATTTAGCAAGCCTTTGCAGTAAGTCTGCAAAACATCTTTAAGTAACACTCTAGATAAGAGTTAAGATCTGTGCTATAATCAAAGGATTCAGGATTCTTAGAACTCTTATGGTAAAAAGGGTTTTCTTGAGAGCATAAATATATATTGGGAGAAGGGTGTAATCTGAACAGTGAGTGAGACTGGTTAACTGATGCATGAATTTCCCTCTAAACCCACCTCAATGGGTTATTAAAACAAAAACACATTACACTATACATTAAAAGATTTTATTTTGCCAATCAAAACCTTTCTACATTGTGTTGGAACAGCTTTAATACATTATTATGTACAACCACCTCTGGTGACAATGCTCAGCTCAACACTCACTTGAATCAAAAGTCCTTAAAGGAATTAGAAAAACCATTCAACGTTCTTTGATAATGAATTCTGGGTAGATTTGGCCAGATTTATATTCTATTAAAACACAAGATACTTTGGTTATTAGTTATCAGATTTAACCAGAGACAGTTAACCAGTGGAACGGCTTGCCTTCAGAATTGGTGGGGGCTCCATCAAGGGAATGGGTCAACCCACCACAGCCAATTCACCGCAGCCAACTCAGCATGGCCAACTCGCCGCCGGACAACTTGCCATGGGACAATTTAACAATTCAATTTTGTTATTTAAAATAAATAAATAAAAATTATTTTAACGTTTGCCATTCACCTTTCATCCTTGTCCTTCCTTTTTGCATCCTTTAATTATTCTATTCCACCATTTATTTTGATATTAGTGTAACTCCTATCCCACAGTGAGTTGTCCCACAGCAAGTTGACCATGATGAGTTGGCTGAGTCGAATTTCATTTCTTTCATTAGAATGACATGGATGTTGTTTTCTATTTAAGCATTGTTTATTTTGGTGTGTTTCAAACTAAATGAACGGCTGGTTTTGTTTTCCTGGAGCATTCGAATTTTAGGAGAATTATTGGTTTCATATCAAATGGGTAATAAACCATATGGCTGTTTTCCTAAAACATGACATCCCATTTTCGTTTCTTTGGACAATCTAAAGATTTAAATAATTTTAAAGCCATCGAAACGTAACTTAAGCTAAAGATCGCATCTGTTGACTTCGATGTTAAAAGTGTTAATCCTTTGGTATAGTTTTGCCTTTAAAACAATTTACGGTGTGACGGGCGTCTAGATGTAATTACAAATGTTTCATTTTTCCCCTCGCTTTAATTGCAGTGGATGATCCAGTTCCCCTACAAAGCCGCAACCTTTTTTGGCTGTATCGGAACCGATAAATTTGGTGAGATCCTCAAAAGAAAAACGGAGGAAGCTCATGTAGATGCTCACTACTATGAACAAAGCGAAGAACCGACAGGAACCTGCGCTGCATGCATCACCAGTGATAACAGGTGGGCTATGTTCTCCTGAGACATGGAGTAGAGGAGCAGAAGATACAGGAAGCCTATATTATGGCTTGCATTGTGGCAGAGGTCATAACTAAATCTTACGGGCCTCATCATGAAGGCAGTGATTACCACCCCATTTTCATTTGGGGAAATAAGATTTCCATATCTCTGTTGTGACCTATTGGCCACTGGCCCCTCCAGCAGCTGAATCAGATGAAGAGGAGGAGGAGGAGGAGGAGGAGTTGGTGGTGGTGTGGGAGCCAGGGTTAGCATCAAGGCAACCTGAGAGCTCTGAGGGGGAGCTCAGCATGGGGAATTCTGGAATTTGAAGTCCATAAGTCTTAAAGTTGCCAAGTTTGAAGACCCCCTAGTGTAAGCTGCATCGGTATAAATGTACATATAGGACAATACGTTAATGAAAAGAGCTGGGAGAATTTTTCAACCAGGATATGGAAGAACAGACTCTGAATATCTCTTTTAAAAGCATAAACCTCAGGACATTAAATGAAGGCAGCTGCCTTGCGTAGAACGTTGCTCCTTGTGACTAAATGGACATGGCAAGGTTGTTTTCTTTGTGGTGTTTTTTTTATTGCCTGCATTAATCTTCCTAATCTAACCTATAATTTTAGCATTTCCTTGTCATCTTCCACGTTTAATTGTTTCAAGGTCATCTTTGTTCTGTCCCCTGCTACAGGCAAGTTAATCAAGTAAGACCAGCAACAGAATTGTGCAGTGTAATTCTCCAATGTCTAATAAAAGGGAAAGGGTGGGGGGGAATCATTCCTTTTCTTTTTTTTCTTTTTGCTTCTTTTTCCCCTTATTTTCCCACTCCTTTCTCTGCTCTAGTTAGAAAACCAGTTTGGGGCAGACTCACTGCCTTGCTGGTGAAGCCAGGATGACATCAAAGTGTCATTGTGTGTTTCCATCATTTCACATAGATGTCATAATCATACAACATCAGTCCCTCTGCCCCTGCTACCTTTTTATAATTATATGAGTGCGGGATGGGAAATGCAAAAATGCATCGTAACCTTCCCTTCCTATTAAAAGATTCTTGAAGATCACAGGGAAGGAAAATCCACCCTCGTAGATTTTTCCCCCCATTCTCCCACACTTGTATCCCCAATATACCTTCTATTCTGGAAGCAAAATAGTCAAGCTCTTCGATATTTTAATGCTTCCCCCACTTTTAACTGAAAAGCCCTTTATCTTTCCTCCAGTGTATCAGTCACTGGGTGCTTAGTATCCTATTTCACTTCCATACAGTATGAAGCACTCAGCCACCCAAGTGGACTATTAGAGAAAACAACAATTAAACCACCACACTGGGATGAGTGTGCTTCTCAACCTGCTAATGCTTGTACGTATTATAAATTAAAAAAATATTATTTGAAAAATTGGGAGCGCAGCACAGAGCAGAAAGATTAAGTAGCATCTTAGAGTACGTGGCATGGTCTCGGGTGGCATCCAATATATTTGTTGGTCAAATAATGAAGTGGTAGTAGGGAAATTGTGGTTACTCTTTGAGAGGATTAGAAAACTGACTTACTTTAATGATTTTTTTTTTAGGTCTCTGATTGCTAACTTGGCTGCTGCTAATTGCTATAAGAAGGAAAATCATCTTGATGTGGAGAAGAACTGGAAGCTGGTGGAAAAAGCTAAAGTTTATTATATTGCAGTAAGTGGGCTTCACGTTGCAAAATGTTCACTTGCATTGAGACCTTGAATTTTTGGCACGTAAATTACATTTCATGCAAACCAAAATCTTAGAAATGAAGGAGGGAAAGCTGAGGTTTATGTTCTACTCTGCTTGATTGGTTTATATTTATGTTTTCTTGCACTCATTGTTCGAGCTGCCTGTTGACCTATTGGCTTGGGAAGAATCCATACATTGTTATTTTCCTGCTGTTTCCTACATTAGTATTTGTTTCTGAACTATAGTATGGAATATTCTTGCTTTTTTTTTTCTCGAATCCAGACAAAAGTGCTTTGGATAGAGATAAGAGAGGGATAAGAATAATGGATGTTCCTTCTTTCATAGAGCTATGCAAGAAAATATTTGTCCAGAATATTTTTATTCACTTTTCTACCACAAGGCATCCGAAGAACTAAACAAAAATTAAACGTTGCAGAATTATTTTTCAAAAATAGATAGCCCCCCAGAAAATTTCAAAACTAATTAAAACCAGCATGATTACTTTTGAAGATTACTTTTATATTCAAGAAATGAGAAAAACAAAGTAAATACTTCTTTAGTCTCCTTTCTGAATTTCAAGTTGTATATATATTTTTTTCCTTAACAAGATATTGCTCAACATAATTAGCAAATCTCAGCAATAGTGGTCACCCATTAGAAAGAAGACTATTAATTGAGAGCTTGGATCCTAGTGTGGGGAGTGGAGCCAATCTGGGTTTGGGGGTGTTTAGGTGATTGTGGTGGATTGTGCGTTTTTCTTGCTTAGGTCTACGTCCCAATATTTGGTCTAACGGGGAGAGGCTGATCTGACGATTAGCTAGTTCAGTTTCAGCCAGTGAACTTTACCAAGAGGGTAGGCAACTTGGAATGGATTATTACCTTTATTGTCAGAATACAACATGTGTACAATGAGATTGGCTGAGCTTCCCTTCGTGCACACACACACACCCAACACAACTCACAGTGAGGACAGAAGTCCCTAACCCAGTCCCAATCTTGTTACACTAGGTGACCTTGTTACACAATGTGCCGGCCCCACAAGTCTATCCTACTATGTTGACATGAAGTTATTTTCTGTTCGGAAGTCTGACAGCCCACAGGTAGAAACTGTTCTTCAGCCTGTTGGTGCGGCTGGCTAATGCTTCTCTATCTCCTACCCAATGGTAGGAGAGTGAAGAAGGGCTGACCGGAATGTGAGTTGTGCCTGAGGATTTTCCTCACTCTTCTAAGGCAGCGATCCCTAGTGAGGTCATCTGGTGGTATCAGGGAACAGCCCACGATGCTTTGTGCTGTGCTCAACCACCCTCTGTAGTGTCTTTCCACTCACAGCTGTCAAGCCAGCATACCACTCAGTCATGCAATATGAGAGGACGCTTTCTATTGTGGACCAGTAAAAGGAGGCCATCAGTCATTGTTCCAAATTTGTAACCAAACGCTTCCCAAACCCATCAGCTTGTTTAGTAGGGGAACAACAAGCAGGTATCAAGATCCTATGGAGGGGGGGGGGGAATAGACAACAAGGAGGCCATGTTTTCTGACCCAAACCCTTATCCAATAAAACCAACACAAACCAAAGGGAACAGAAACCTTTTAATGATTCTTATGAATCGTCGGTTAAAAGGCTGCTGCAAACTAATTAACAATTGATAAGCACGAGCCTCACCAAAACTGTGCGAGGCTGCCAAGAGTAACAGATAAGGTTACCTAGAAATATTTTACGACACAAGAGTCTTCAAATACCAACTAAGATACTGCAATGTCCACGAGGCTGGAGTTTCAAAATGTCTTTGCTTTCTGCAAAAAAGTCTGATTCACAGCTAGCTTTTATCTTCTTGAAGGAGGGGCCATTACCTTGCAGCCTTGCTCCCGAGTCGCCCATGCTGTTGTAACTGTTCTTTCCCCTGAGCAATCTTTCGTGCACACGCACTTAACACAGGCTCCTTGGGAACCTCCTCATCGCTGCTGCCAGCCCCCACAGCAGTCCACTTCCTAATGGTCCTGGCCCCTCATCTGAGTCTTCGCTCTCCTCAGCCATCCGCACCTGCTGCCAGCTAACCACAACACTATGATGGTACCTTGCGGTGTTTTTAATTTTCTCATCAGAAGAGCGTGTGAATCCTACCTCTTGCAAATCAAGCTTGTCACTTAAGAAAAGGCCAATCCTGTAGACCAGGGGTGTCAAGCTCACGGCGTCACATTGTTGTCATGTGACATAGCGTGACTTTTCCCCCCCTTCACTAAACCAGGCGTGGGCGTGGCCATGGCATGACGCATCCAGTCCGCGGGTCTGGAAGTTTGACAGCCCTGCTGTAGGCCAACCTCCCATCTTTAAGTCTTCTCGGGGAAAGCAAATCCATATATAAGGGGTCCTTGGTGTGCTCTGAGCTTGCTTGTTTTCTTGCAGACGTTTCATTACCCTCACTAGGTAACATCATCAGTGCCAGTAAGGAGTGCTGACAGCAAACCACACTCCTTGCTGGCACTGATGATATTAACTACTTAGGGTAATGAAACGTCTGCACGAAAACAAACAAGCTCAGAGAGCACCAAGGACCCCTCATTTCAACCCCAAGCTACAAATATTCTCCTTTATTAGTTCATACATAGCATGTGGAATGTTCTGCATGAAAGTAGCTGGGATGAGACCTCCAAAAAAAAAAAGAGCCCAGGATATTCAAGAGCAAAGGAGACAGGAAAGAGAACACAAAGGAGAGAGAAAAAGAGAAGAATTATTATCTAAAGGCCTATGGCAGGAAAGAATAAAAAAACTTAAGACAAGGTTTATGCCCTTGGTGGTGATAAACTAGTATGAAGCTCTGAAAAATGAGCTCACCTGAGATAATTCCCTTATCCCATACATTCTATAATAGTCCCAGAACTGGAAGAATTCTGCTAAGATTCCCCCCGCCCAAATAGAACGACCTAGAAATCTCTCTTTTGAGGAGGAAGATAAAAGTATTGAGAAGAGCTGTGGTAGCACAGTGGTTAAAATGCAGTATTGCAGGCTAACTCTGCCCACTGCCAGCAGTTCAATGCTGACCGGCTCAAGGCTGACTCAGCCTTCCATCCTTCCAAGGTGGGTAAAATGAGGACCCAGATTATTGGGGGGCAAGAGGCTGACTCTATAACCCGCTTCGAGAGGGCTGTGAAGCACTGTGAAGCGGCATATAAGTATTGTTAGTATTGCTATTAGTGGGGGAGATACTGTGAGGGATAGAGCCGTTGTCTCTAGACCAGTGATGGCTAAACTTTTCGTCGTCGCGTGCCAAAAATGTGTGCCCGTGCGCACCCATAATGCAATGCATGCGCCCCCCCCGCCCTGTTACACATGTGCATCCCTGGTTTGCATTGCACACCTCTGCGCATGCATGCGTGACCCCCCCCATAGGCGTCACACACCCCCGCGCATACAAGGCAGATACCTGACAATCAGCTGGCTGGCGGGAGGTGTGCACGCATGTGCAGTGGATCTGTTCTGGGCGACGGCTCACGTGCCAGCAAAAATGGCTCTGCATGCCACTTCCAGCATGCATGCCATAGGTTCGCCATCATGGCTCTAGACCAAACAAGATACCGCAAGAATTTGCCTGTTGTGGATAGCCGGAACCTGGGGGTAAAGATTGCAAAAAGTTCATCAGACTGAATGATGGCTTCTGTCCATCAGGAGACAAATGACATTGTTAGAAGGGAGCAAATACTTCAGAGTATTCCAAGATGGAGGTGAGGGTGACGGAGCTGGAGGCATAAAAGAGTCTTTTCTTTCATCTTCCTCACTTCATTTTTTTTTGAGAAGTGCTCAAAAATCCAGGAAAATACAACTGCTTATAACAGTGTTATCAAGACAAAGATGTGTCCCTAGATGTGGTCTATATTACCTGTTACAACTGAGGATTGGGGGACAGCAGCAGACCTAAGTAGAGAAGTGCTAAGTTGTAAAGACATCACTGTATAATAAGTAAAAAGATCGTGGGATGCAAGAGGCTCAGACCAAAAGTCTGGGTGTTTGTGTCAAAAAGTCCATATAGTGCCCATAAGAATGCAGTAGAAGCACTTGTCATTTTTTACATGTATCATGCGTGCAACACGTGTAAAAAAGTTGCAGAACTTCCAACACGTGCTCATGGATATCACTTCTTTCTTGACCCACTTGTCCATGAATGCCTCTGGTATTCATCTCTGGCCAAAAACAGAACAACTAGCAGGCTGAAATTAAAAGAAAGGTGATTCAGGCTGAAACGCTGTGAAGAGTTTCCTTGATGGTAAGAGCTACTAAGCCGTAAAATTATTTCAGCAATGATGGGTTCCCATTGAGAGTGGAGTGATGGGTGAGGACATGTTGGGAAGGTCTTGGTGAACTTCTTCACTGAGAAGGGTTATTAGACTACCCAGATTTCAGAGAGTAATTAGAACTGCAGAAAAACAATGGCTGCCAACCTCCCTTCCATCAAGGACCTGTATAGTGCACGAGTCAAAAAGAGGCTGTGAAAATATTTACAGACCTCTCACATCCTGGACATAAACTGTTTCAACTCCTCCCCTCAAAACGACACTATAGAACACTGCACACCAGAACAACTAGATACAAAAACAGTTTTTTCCCTGAACGCCATCACTCTGCTAAACAAATAATTCCCTCAACCCTGTTCAACTATTACAAAGTCTGCACTACTATTAATCTTCTCGTCGCTCTTTATCACCCATCCCCTCCCACTTGTGACTGTATGACTGTAACTTCATAAGGCTTGTATCCTTACGATTTTTATTGACTATTTCCTAGAATGATTTGATTGCTTATTGTACCCTATGACTATTATGAAGTGTTGTACCTGATGATTCTCGACTCTTGATGAATGTATCTTTTCTTTTATGTACATTGAGAGCATTTGCACCAAATTCCTTGTGTGTCCAGTCACACCTGGCCAATAAAGAATTCTATATTCTATTCTGTTCTGTTCTATTCTATTCTATTCTATTCTATTCTG